AGTAGTAGAACAGGACATGCAATGGCCCGGAGGTAAACATGCAACATGGAACATCAAACTAAAAGCATATCTGAGTTAAGGGAGGAATATTTCATTCTACGAGGATACAACTTATGCCTTATATAAAAAGCGACGATTGCCTCCTGCCACAGCAGATATCACAAACTAAAGAGGGAATGTGCACACAAAACGCAAGAATTCATGATCTTGACAGACACACAAGCAACCATGCAACACGTACAGCGGTGTGATACTTAATTAACGTAGTTTCCAAGTGTGACTATAATTAATAGGCAAACTCCCAAATGCACATTCAAAGCGATAAGTGAGAGAATGAGGAGAAATTGGTTGGATTATATTGAGAAATGCAATGTACTACATCGAAGAATTGTCAGCGTGATACGTACATAGGGCTGTAGAAATGAGGGAGGGAATATTTGCACTTAAGGTGCTCTGCTTATTTCCCGACTGTGCCAGCTGATATTCCGTAATTACTAAGCGTACATACAAAATGGTACTCATCGCAAGGAAGTAAAGTTTCGTGTTCTTCGTGTAGATCTTGATTTGTAGTGTGGACTAAAATCACAAACAACTCACAAATACTAAAAGTTATATTTACCCACAGTAATCCGATCAGCGAAAAAACGCAGGCGACATAACGGTAAGAATTTCTATGAAAGAACGTCATATTATTCTTTTCGTTGCAGCGGTGTGGAAACTTGACAGCATGTGTAGTAGAGAAGAGTACTCGAACTTTCAACGTCGAGTGTTTGTTATCAGGTGTTTTTTGTGTTCTCGAAATACAGTTCGATGATATGCGGCAAGAAGTGCGCCATCCATGTGACGAACAAGATTATTCAAAATGAACTGAGCAGGAAATTTGCATATATGAGTGAAATAGAGTATAATCGTCCCAGCAACGAAGAACGTGAGAAATATTTTTTGGAGGGATATTGAGGGTTGTAATTCGGGTCAGCCCAAAACGGGCCTGATTGGAAAGGGATGATGGCTGTGGTTACCGGTGAGTTCTTCTGCACAACTTTTTCACTGGCTCTTATGGATATCCCGTCATCGATCATCGCCCGGGATAGCAAACACCCGCCAGCCAACTGGGAAAATGGGGCAGACTGCAAAAAGTTGACCATCAGCACCAGTTGAACAACCCTCTGGCAATTGGAGGTGTAGCAACGCGGCGACTGCTGTAGAGTATAGCCCAGAGTCAGTCTAAGATGCCAGTTAAGAACGGAGCCTCTACATTTTCTGAGCAGAGGAGGCAGACAACTTGAGGCCATTATAACACGTCAGATAATTCAGCTAATAGGGATGAGCGGCTGTGACAAAATTTCGTTGCCTCAGGCCTTGCTTCCGACGACTTTGCGATCAGTGCTTTACGTCCAGAGGGAGGTTACAGCGCTTTTCCATAGAATCTGACCCGTACGAGGCTTAGCTTCTGCTGGGTGAGGCTTCTTGTCTCCTGCTGGAAGGTACGTACGTTAAACGGTGACGCCAAAATAAGCAACATCCCTCCAACGGCATCGCAGAAATCCCCCTCCTGAGAGACGGACATCAGCAGCTTCAGGTGTTACAGTTAATCAACCGATCTAGAAATTATAGCTCCCAGC